AGCTAGAACCGGTCCTGCTTTGGCACTGTGAGATGGATTGAATAATCTCTTATATCATTCTAAAAAAGAAGAAAACATATGCCCTCACCCGCACAGAGTGAGTGATCCCAGGCTGCGCGTTGCTCCAATTTCAGCTGGAAATGTCCTTAGTGGTAGCTATACAATGTGTTTTTCTCTATTATTGAAAAAATTGTATGGAATCAGACTCCCCACAAGAGCAATAACGGTGGAAGAAAGGCTGTTGTGTGCATGGGAAGCCTGTTGAATCCCGTCTTCTGCAGGGCAGATAATGGTATCGTGCTGGGCTGAAATCGTGGCAGCCAGATGGGTTTTGCAGAGGCAGCTCTGAGTAAAACAAGGCCATTTAGAGAGTCCCAGGCAGGACAGGATGGTACGTGCTAATTACCAGCTGCCTAGAAAATGTGATATGGAGATAACATTGTCTGTGTTTGCTACGAAAATAAAAACTAATTGTTATAAAACCCAATTGGCTGAGGAATGACCAGGGGGGTGCCCCAGGCTACACTTAGATCCCAAATTGAATTGCAGCCTGGGAGCAGGAGAGCTGAGAGCGCTTCTAATCAAGTTATCCTCTGGTCAGGCAGGAGCATCCATTCTGATAAGAGCCTACGATGCTTCTCATGAGCAAGTGATTGAGCAAGGATGGACAAGGGTAAAGCAGCGTCCCAAGTATTCTGGCAGTGGGGAGAAGGGACAGTGTAGCTGCATGGTAACCACAAATGTCACAGGCTGAGAAAAGCACTCAGGGCTGCCCCTGTCACCACTGAACTGAAGGGCAACCTCTGAGGTGACTTAGCAGGACCCAGAGGTCAGTAGACATCAAAGAACATCCCAAATATATTCACTGGATTTTCGGGTACCTGAGATTTGAGAGCAGTTTGAATTTAGACACAGTTCAACTGCAAGCCACCCATCTCACAAACTATTATGAACTCAAGGGGCTTCTTTGTTTGTATGCTCGGTTTGCCCACTCCCATAATTCTAGAAAAAAAAACAAAACCACCAGAAGAGCTTGGACTAAACCTGCAGGATTAACCGTGTTCTGTAGCTGTTAAAGAGAGGAAAGAAAATCAAACACAAATCAGTGTGTTTCAATAAGGAAGTTGTCTTAGTGAAATGGAGCTGTTCAGTTTTATTTATAGTTGGCGGGAGAGTATATTAAAAATAAACAACTGGTAAATCAGCAAACAGTGCAAATATTTAATTTTGACTACATAATGATCCCCAAGCTTTTTACTTAAGCAGTTATTTTATTCCTCTTTATTTAGTAAGTGAAAAGCAGAAGGCAAGGGGAGAAAGGTGGAAAAGGAAGAAACTACGACAGGAGAGAAGGACGAGCTTATTAAAACAGTGGGGACAAAAAAGTTCTGCATTTAGCTTCTGGTTGTCTCACAGATCTTGTGAGTGAATCACTGCACCTCTGCGTGCCTCAGTTTCCCACCCCATCAAAAGCAAACACATTTTCTATGTCTCCCTCTGTCTTCATAGCAGGACCCCCACCCTTCTACAGGGGATGGAGGAAGGGGGCAGCCAGCGCAGCCGTGACACGGAGCAATGACAGTGGAGGACACAGACAAGCACCGCTGCATGGATGGGCACCCACAGAGTGGGCGCTGGACATTGGCTTGCCTTGCTTGGCTCATGATATTCTCCGAATGAGAGAGGCAGCTAGAAAAGTGAACATTTTTGCAGATCCCCTGTATTTGCTTGGGGATGACACACTCTTTTTTACTGTTTCTCTGTCTCCCAGGGATGGCCTTCCTCCCTGCCAGTATATCCTACCTCATCGGCACCAATCTCTTCGGGATTCTGGCTAACAAAATGGGCCGGTAAGTGGAACATAAAAGATTTCAGCTCAACCCAGCCCAGACCTGCGCTTTCAGCATGAATTATGCTCGTGGTGTTGTACACACCAAGAACATCTGCCCTCTAACTGTGGCCTCGTTGCAGGTGGCTGTGCTCCCTGATTGGCATGGCTGTGGTGGGAGTTAGTCTCCTCTGTGTAAGTAGCCCAAGACAATTTCAAGACCTTTCTGTAGAGGGATCAGCAGGGGCAGTGTGGGCAAGAGTACTGAAACCAGGTTACGTGCCCAGCAGTCAGTAGATGATCAGTGGTTGCGCGTGTGTATCCGTTTTGCAGATCTATGTTACGCCTGCACAGCTCAGCAAGCTCTTCTCACCTTATTCATATACTCTCTCTCTCTCTCTCCCCTCTCAAAGGTACCTCTGGCCAAAAACATTTACGGGCTGATTGGCCCAAATGGTGGGCTTGGCTTTGCCATAGGTAAGCTGTTGGTGTTCAGGCTGTGCAACACAGATCAAATGCAGCTCTCTCCGCTGCCCTCGGAGAAGGCGATGACTGATCAGGTCCTTCTTGCTTTGGGCAGGAATGGTGGACTCCTCCATGATGCCTACCATGGGTTACCTCGTGGATCTTCGCCACACCTCTGTCTACGGCAATGTCTATGCCATAGCTGACGTCGCCTTCTGCATGGGCTTTGCGATCGGTATGGAGGAACTCTTACTCGTGGGATGACGTACTCAGTGTGTATCTCACTCAGTTTATCACTCCCTTTCCTCCACCCAGAGTTCACTGCACAGAGTCTGCAACCCAGCCACCGTAGATTCACAGACCTCCTCCAAACTGGAAAGGAACCTTTTGCTCCCTGTCATCTTAGCCTTTTTTAATCTTTAAATTTGCAGGTCCATCCACAGGTGGTGCGATTGTACGAGCTATTGGGTTTCCCTGGCTGATGATCATCATTGGAGTTATCAATATCGCTTACGCTCCTCTCTGTTGGTACCTGCGCAACCCTCCCGCTAAGGAGGAGAAGATTGTGAGTTTAAGTATACCTTATTCCATTAAAGTATAGGGGATTAATAATCCAGATATTTGGGGGGGGAATTACAATAAATTTAAATTTGCCAGGGATTATGTCTTCCCTCTTGGGCTCCACTCTGCCCTCAAAAAAGGGACAAAAACCTCAGACAATAGAGAAAATTTTAGAACTATGGTCCTTTCCCTAACTCACAGTTTGTATTTCCTGGGCAAAAGTTGTTGGCTGCTTTGGCTTTCTCTAAAAGGGGTAATGCTCCTGTTAACTATTCAAATTAATCACCATTTTTACTAAAGCATGATTTCTTCTCTCCTTTACCCAGGCAATCTTAAGCCAGGAATGCCCCATGCAAACCAAAAGCTACACCACTCAGAAAACCCTGCGCGATTTCCCTCTCACAGATGACAGTGATGTGGAGGCAGAAAATGCAGAATAGCAAGTGCAAGGATGCATGCCCTGTTTTGAAGCTAATATTATGCTAACAGAACATGGATGTATTAGCACCCAAGAATAACCCAGCCGCCCCCAAGACTTGTGGACACAGGATGGACACAGGCTGTATCGCTGACCCGTTCTCTCGGCCATGCAATCCACAGCAGGGAGCAGAGACCCAGGATTTAGAGACTCTATCCATTTAGTTAAGCCACTCATTTGCTGTGTGACTTCTAGGCAAGTTACCCAAACTCACTACATCTCATCTGTAGAAAAAAGGTACAAAGATGAGGAGAATCATATCAACCTGTCCTGCAGGACAATATTGTCTTGGGCACAGCCTCCTCATGCAGTAGGGGATAACACCAACATCTCTCCCAGATGAGTCCTGTGGCATTTGTCAATGTCTTTAAAGCGCTTACTGTTCTTGAAAGAAAAGCACTGGAGAAAATGAAAATTAAATCAGCAGCATCAGCTTTGAGAGATTTCTTTCTCCAGAATTCTGCTATAATCCCCAGCACGAAACCTTTCTGTAACAACAGGGCGCTATCCGTCTGTGTCACTGCCAGTCCGTCAATAAAGATGTCACTGTACTGCTAATGTGCTCCACACTCCTCTGAAGACAGTTAAAAAACCCCGTTCATTGCTGTCTCGGTATAGCTTTATGTGTTGTGCTCTTTATGTGCTACTTACAGCTGCTTGTCTGTCTCTTCCACCATCCATTACATTAATTATTTGAAGAACTCCAAGAAATTCAGGTAGAAATAAGGCTGAAAGCAGTTTTAGACTCTTAGACACAGACTCAGCCAACAAAGCTAGTTAGATCCCTTGTGATTATAAGTGACTAATAGAGCATTTTTAAAAATCCCTGCCCCTCAGCTGAGATGGGGCAACAGGCTGTGTTTGTGATCCTAACCCATCGCAATGAGAAGTACAATAGATTGATTTAATTGCCCTTTTGCAATTTCCTGGCCACAAGTTTAGAAAGAGAGCAGCTGCGCTGTTAACAATAATTATTGAGTATAATGGTCTGTAAAAGTATGTTACGGTTAAGTAAGAGAAAGAGTGAAGTAATAGAGGTACCAAATTAATTTTGTAAGTATCAGAAAAATTCCCGTGATCTTATTTTTTCCAGTGAAACCTCAAACTTACAGCTTCTCTGGTTCCACTGTTGGCAGTTTATATAAACTCATTTCTGTCTTGAATGAGCAGTTGTGTAATGCACAGCCATTTCACTTGCCAGAAAGAACAGATGATTCACTGCTCTGGAGCCCCAGCAGCACAATGCAGATGCGCTTGCCAGCAGGGAAACAGGAGGATAATAACAATTCATCAAGATTTGGTACCTTATGACTCATTACCAAAGGTCATAAATGGCTATTGTCAGGCAATCCCACATCCACGGTGGGCCCATTGCCCCTCGCTTTGCACATACAAGATGAAATTATATTTCTTAGGCTGACTGGAAATGACTAATGCCAAGCCTGTTCTCAAAAACTGGTTATTTTTATCTTCCACCTGTTTCCCTGCTTTGCCAAGAATAAAAGGAAAAATGTGTTTGCTTTCTGTGATGGAAGGAAAAGAAGTAAGCCATTCTATTTGGGGATCTATTCACACCTCCACAGTGCACCTCCCTGTTAAATATTACCTCTAATCCCGCCTGCGTGCCCCATGGCTGGTTGCTCTGGAAATCCACCCCCTGCGAGCACCATGAAGGCAGACGAGCCTCTGGTTCCTGCAAGGCGGGCTCCTCGCCAGCCGGCCCTTCCCAGGCGCCTCACCCAGCAGCGCTTCGCTGCTCCGATCAGCAACGCAAGTCAGGCTCTTTCCTTCGGCATTGGCAGCTCAGACTTTTTTAATTAATAAATTAGTTGCAGTGCCAATGATGTCGATGGAGTTTCTCTGCTCTGAGGGAAGAATTAGGTCGTCATCTTTGCATCAAATGACCTGGTATTTTCACCCATCCTGCTGCAGAAATGCATCTTCTTGAGCACATTAGCAGCAACATGAACAGGTACTGCTAGCTCTGCTGCTGGGGGACACACGTGAGGGGTCTTGGTAGCTGTGAACGAAAGGGCTTTATCCCTTTGGGCCCAGAGCCTGCAAATAAACATTTCCCTCGCAGCTTCTGCAGTGCAAAATTAAACAGCACGGGTCTGCACGGCGGGGGCTGACGGTACGGGCCGCCCCGTCCCTCACCGAGGCAGCTGCCATTTCCTATTGCGAAAAGCAGGGAGGAGAAATGACAGAGCAGTCGGGGCCCGAGGCCGGGCCCTCCCCTCTGCCACCCCCCTGCTGCCTCAAGCAAAACAACAGGCCTCGACGCGGCTGCCCAGGCACAACGCACTTTGACAGGGCTCCAGGCCGGCGGGCGCCGGCAACAGGCCACGATAACCTCTCAGGTTTATGAGCCACAGGTTTATTTCCCCCCGCCAACGGCCGAGGCACCGCTGCGGCCCTACGGACAGCGCCTCCCCGCGCCGCCGCCCTGACAGCGCGGCCCCCCCCCC